TGGCGCTCGCCAGCGATCTGGGCTCCCTCGGCGCCTGCATACATTATCCCCGCATGGCCCAGCCTTTCGAGTTCTACCGGCGCTCGTGAAACTCCCTGGCCGTGGCAAAGTTCCTTCTGGGCATTATGTGGAGGGGTATTTAGTCTTACACCCTCACAGCGTTAAGGCCGCACAACACAGTATAAATGGGCGAACCCCGTAGTCAAAAGTAGTCCGGCACAAAGTAGCGCTGCACAATACTTGAGAAAGGGGCAGAGATTATTATGTACATGGCATTGAGGTTGAACCTGGGGTGAATGTTAGAGGAATGCGTCAGTTTTGAGACTGTAAAAGTTGAATCATGGTACGTGTTCAGTCGGCGTAGATATGCGCTTGTATACTTGCGCCGCCTAGTACTGTGCGTCGGCTGCAGTTCCATGACCTCCGCAGTGGCGCTAATAAAAGAGGGCGTGAGAAGAGAACTAGCCGGCAAACTTAGGCTCATTTTCAAATATTTTGTACACCATGCCCTGAAATTAAACATATCAAAATGTGGAACCTTTCTTGTGCACCCTACTATAATTTTTAGTGAGTCGAAGTGAGTCACTTTGGGGTCCTTAACTATAGAAATCCCCATAGGGCTAATACTGTGTTGTGCCGCCTTGAACCCCCACGGGAATTAAGCAACAGTTTCAAATTCGGTGAAATTTGCTTAGTATATCTGGTACTGACGTCGGTCCAAATAATATACACCAGTTTATTTCACCGTCAGACCCCCGTTGCCATGGCAACGGCCAATAGGACCGTCCCCTATGCTTTACTATGGGAGTTCCCCACTGGCCCGAGGACGCGTATCCCCCCCCCCCCTTTTCTGCCGTGAAAACGGCTTGCACTAACTACAAATCACTCAGAAGATGAGAGGGTACAACAATGATACCCGCTAGCAAGAAAAAGTTGGCCGGAATAGTAAATTTGCCGTGATAAGTAGACAATTAAATGGCCCGTCATTAGGGCCTTGTACGGGACCTAGCCCTACGACAGGTGCCGAAGTGCAAAGTTGCCGAAATCTCAGCAACCGTTCGGATTTGTGGAATAAAATTTGGCAAAGTTTCACATCTTGACTAGTTTTATCGTATAAACGAAAAAAAATTCGATGTCAAGTTCGTTTAACAAATATATAAAGGTACTTTGTAAAGGTCCGTTTAATATACCATTGAGACAACTTAAAATTGGAAACTTTAATCTACGCCACGATATATACCTTTGGCTTTTCCGCGGACGCTGGGGACGAGTGTGAGGTCTTTTGGTCTTTTCAGCGATCTCCACTGCGCTGTGAGCGATATCTGAGTCTATATGCTGCACGAAACTTCACCGCAATCTGTTTTGGACGCCGCGCTTCGCGGGCGACAGGGGGCGTTAGGGCACGGCAAGTCCTGGGTTCTGGGACTTAGAAAAATTTGCAGGCTCCACACCAAAATTTTTCTAAGTGTTTACGCCGTCCAGGGCGTTCAGCGGCGCTGAACCGCCGAACGTCTCGAACCACTTAAGGTGGTTCCTCGCGCGGGCGTTCGAACGGGCACTCTCACGGGCCGGACGTGCTGAACGGCCCTGGGCGGGGTGGACGACTCTCGGACTAGTCCGAACCGTCCGAACCAGGAGCATTTTTACAGAGGAGTCGCCATGTTTGTTTACATAGCGTATTTATTTAGCGCGATCACTGCAGAGAAGTGAAATAAAGAGTTCTTTTATACTTCAACATCGCAGTTTGCTGTATTTTGACCATGAGATGACTTATAGTGGCCCAGGGAACAAAAAATCCCGTCCCGTTGCGTCGCGGGATAAACAATAGGGCGGAACCTGATAAATTGAATGGGGGAGTGTTCAGTATGTGTACAGGGGAAGGGGTGACAAGTCATGGACGTAATTGATGTACGTGTGTGATTTTCTGCCGCCTTTTTGCACCTCCATGGTGTGATCTACTGGAAAATAAGCTGTATGGTTCTAACTTCAAATTTCTGTCAATGTTTTAGGAATTTTAGTTAGATCGGGAGATGGCCTTGGTTAGATGACGAATTACTCTCAGCAATAAAAGAGGAATAGCCTTTCTTAGAGGAATAGTACTTGCCTATTTTTACATAATTGCAATATCTTAGGATAATAGGATATTTCAGTGTCTTTGACATCTGGGTATCATTTGGAATGGTTTGAATCCTTGGTTGAGCATCCTCCACTATTGCAAGGGAAGAACTACCTTTGGAACTGGGCTCTCTCCTTCCACCTCGGTACCCCTTCCACCTGGTCCCGCCCCAGAGGGAGACCGAGGCGCATCTGGACGGAGCAGCTATCCACAGACCTTCAGGCTGCAGGACTGGATATCACGACCGCCTGGATGGCAGCCAGAGACAGGCAGACCAGCCACCTGGAGGCGCATGCGAAGCTGAGTTGAGTATCCTGGTTGGAGCTTCATTCATCTGACAAGTTAGAGGGTCCTGTCATGAAAGAGGACTACTGCAAGCATGTTAAAGCCACTGTAATCAGCATTAATTGATCTTCTTATTCAGTATAGGTGGGGAGTCGCTGCTAGCCTTTGATGTCCTTCTGATCTGGCCGCTTTTAATCTTAAACAATCTAAGTAACATTTTCATGGCGATGCGTGACTGTGAACAGTTATTCTTGGCATGGCCATTCTTATGCTCCATATGGCGACACCAAAGTACGGGCGAAAAACTCAGAAAGGACATCGACGCATCAATTGTAAATTTATTAATATTTTGATCGATTTTGAACATCAAACAACACAGGTTGCTGATAATATACGGAGGGAAGGACATTCAAGTACATTAGATCCTCTTTCTGTGTCATCGCCATCTCTCAAATTGATGCAAGTAGTAGGCATAATTCATCGGTCTCGTAGGACCATGAAGAAGAATCATCTTCTACATCATTGATGCAAGTACATGTACGACAACAACAACAAGAAACCATACACATGTTCATGTCGACACTTTAATAGTCACATGGAGTTGAATGTTGGATCATTACCTCATACACCTTGGTTGGACCAAGCTGATCACTCAAGTAAACACATCTGTTCACAAAGAATAAGTTAGTCATTTCATCGATAAGTTTTTTTAAATAAGTACACTGTGTACAGCACAAAAACATACTCGTAATGGGATCAAAGACTGGCACAATGTACCGGATGAAGTACTAGTAAATCTATAATGTATTCTGTCTATCGTCGGATTCAGTCACCCCTTCCCCTGTACACATACTGAACACTCCCCCATTCAATTTATCAGGTTCCGCCCTATTGTTTATCCCGCGACGCAACGGGACGGGATTTTTTGTTCCCTGGGCCACTATAAGTCATCTCATGGTCAAAATACAGCAAACTGCGATGTTGAAGTATAAAAGAACTCTTTATTTCACTTCTCTGCAGTGATCGCGCTAAATAAATACGCTATGTAAACAAACATGGCGACTGGCCGCATTTGTCGCCTCCAGCCGATAGTTTCCAGCGATTCATAGTGATTTCTTGTTCCCTGGGCCACGTATAAGTTTAATATGTTATGGGTAAACTTAAGTACAGCAAACTGCGATGTTAGAGTATAAAAGAACTTTTTATTTCGATACATTTCACTTCTCTGCCTGATTGCACTGAAACAGACATAGTCGCTATGTAAACAACATGGCGACTGGCCGCGTTTGTCGACTCCGCCGACTATTCGGGGCCCGATAGTTGCCGATTCAAAGCGATTTTCTGTTCTCTGTGCCACGCATAAGTTATACCATGGTCAGAATAAAGCAAACTGCGATGCTGAAGTGCAAAAGAACTTTTTAATTTGGTACATTTCACTTCTCTTCTGTGATCGCGTTAAACAAACATATCGCGTTACGCTATGTAAACAAACATGGCGACTGGTCGGTCCGCCTCCGATTGCCGATTCAGTATTTAAGTGATTTCTTGTTCCCTGGGCCACGTATAAGTTATCTTATGCCAAAATACAGCGATTTGGGCTCTTATCTCATCAATGCAGGGTGTATTCCGGTAGATTTAAGCCTCCTATATGTCCTTTCCGGTCCTTTCCGATCCTTTCCGGTCCTTTCCGGTCCTTTCCGGTAAATAGGTTGACCGGGACGGCGGCGTTATTTTTTTCGGAGAGCGGCGCGAGTTATGCCGCAGAGGGACGATTTTGCCGCCGAGGGAATTTTGCAAAAGAAGGTTTTTGAAAAACCTTCTCTCCGTGGCAAAATCCCCTCGGCGGCAAAATCGTCCCTCTGTGGCATAACTCGCGCCCCTCTCCGAAAAAAATAACGCCGCCGTCCAACAGGTCTGCGAAGGAGGCTAACGAGCTTGTATTGTCCAGCAAGATTCGGGGAAAGAGGGAGGGGTGGAAACGAACAAATACTTGCGGTAGTGAAATCTTAGCCATGGAATATTGACTGCTGAAGTGCCCAAATTAACTGGCACTTATTATCAACAAATCAAGAATTACAGTAACCATAGAGGTAAAATTTGAGACACAGATCTGAAGACCGGGGCATTGTTAAAACGTGCGAAGCGAAGAACAATGGAGGCGGAGACGAGGTACGCATTTCAAAAGGCAAGCTCGCGGGAAAATCTTGCTGAGCATGGTGCGATCAAAACATTTCTAGTCCACGCCTTGAAACGTGTTAACCAATCAGCTACTGTTGTCAAGAGCGAAATGAATGATTGACATTGAATATTCATGAGCAGCGTGTTAGGAAAAATGGGGTCAGATTTGACCATCGTGGAACACGATTAGGGTTCTAAAGCAGGTGGGGACATTGGGGCCTGTATTTTACCACCGTGTAATCTCTCTTGATATGAATTGAGCCGAGACCCGGGGACGCCATGTGTTATTTTTAGACGGTTATCGCGAAGGTACATGCAGTAGGGAAATAACCTATGTTGGCCCACTGTTGTTTACGGCGTCATTATAAAAACATCTGTCCATCAACGGAACAATTTATGGATTAAACTTTAACCAGGAAACGTGGAACTTGGATAGGCCACTCATGTAAGCATTATAAGCTCACAACAACACCTACAGACGGCATTTACAGGTGTGCACAGGTGTGCGAAACAGGCAAGTTTTTATACGTCTAGTCTTTGAATTTTAACCATATTGAAATTGCTGCAATTTCCTATGTTTAAAAGTCTGTTTTTACCCCATAGTCCCCAGTTTTGTGAGACCATATGCTTTCTAAAGTATTTGCTTTGCACTTATTTGCTAAGTACAATGTATTGGGTTCAGAGTCGAAAGGGCTAAGCAAATCATTTGATCTTTGAAAGAGAGTATCAAATTCGCAAGACAGTAACATTGGCAGGGCAGTATCCATTTGACACACTGACCAAAATCGATACCGGTACAAAACAGAAAACCTGCTTAAACATCTAAAAACACGTCAAAAAAAAGCCGAAGCCAAAAACTCTGCTCATTTTCTCACTTCAGATACATGTCTTCCTCGCCGGGCAGCATCGGGCTGCTTCCTCGGGGCTGGTCGCCTCACGGCCCGACTAAAACAGCCTGGACGACCCGGTGCGACCATTTGGGACCACGGGGTGACTTAACCAGACGGACCCTTAGCAGACGCCGCAAATCTAAACACAAGACTAGCCGGCCACCATCGGCGGCAAAAGACATCGGCAATGTACCGCCGGTGTCAGAGTGTAAGGTTTGTAAATTTCTTCTTCCTCTTCTTCTTTTTTTTTAAATGATAATAATATCATAATAATAATCGTTATCATTAATTGTAATTATTATCCACAGGTTTCGATGCCAAGCAGGCAAGCCGAGAGATCGTTCATGTGGGGAGACTTGGCAGTTCTAGAGGAGCACCGGGAAGACCAAGTAGGAAACGCTCTTGTTTTGTTGGTTGGGTGTGTTTGTCTGTTCGTTTGTTTGCATGTGTCTGTAGGTATTTAAATTTTGTATAACCGAGTAAAGAGGGGCTGGTTATCATGGGTTGACCTTAAGGTCACGTTGGAAGGAAGCGTGGATCAGAAGTAGTGTTACATGACCGTAGCCAGGATTTTGAATGGGGGGTTCTTCCCAGTGGTTGAGGGACCAGTGAGCGCCGTATGTAGGCGCGAGGCGAGCGCCGAAGACGCGAGGTTCCTAGGGGGTCCAGGGGTATGCTCCCCCGGAAAATTTTGAAAAATTAACTTTCTGAAATGGAATTTCCTGCATTTTTGAAAGGGTTTTACAGTAAAAATCAGAGATAACTTTTCATTCAATGACAAAGTAGGTAGTTTTCTACGATTCCAGCCCAGCTGGTGATACGAATCAGTCCATCTAAAGAAAAATGTTGGACCCTTTGGATAAGAAGAGGACCAATATGTGGACCTTTGAGCCATGTGGGGGGTTCTTCCGAACCCCCTTGGCTACGATACGGGCATGGGTTAGAAAAAAAAGAAGTTACGAATTTGACAAAGAGCCAGCAAGCTGGCATGTAAGGTCTGTTAGCCGGATGTCAGTGAGACAATGCAATGACGGGTGAACAGTAAAATTAACAACTATAACAATGCAATTCGTTTTAAATACCTTACCTAACGCATATTCTATTCTTAGACAATTGGAACACCAGCTGTCAGCAGTGACAGTGAAGTCGAAAACATTCCAAAAGAAGAAATCACCAGAGACCCCACACCACCTCCGGATGTCACAGATGATCAGTAAGTCATTTAAACATTTGTTTTGCTAGAGTCTCAAAGTATATGGAAGGAGGCTACAACACAAGAAAAGGATACCGAAAACACCATTAAACACCGAAAATACATCTGCTTTTTGCTTTACACCAAGCAGCATACAGGTTCGGAATGGCGATATTTTATAGTAATAAATCCAGACCTTGACCTGAAGGCAAACATTCATAGTTTGCTACCTATTCAATCCCTGATAAGAGATTACAAACAGCATGAGCACAAAGGATATTACCAATGGTTGTTACTTGTCCAATCCCCGATAAGAGACTACAATATATGAGCACGGCACGAAGAACAATATCAATATTTGCTCTATGGTACTCTTTCTAGGTCTATTCAAAGGAGCGTTGCCGTTGAAGAGATGGTTGACGAGTTCCATTCCGAAGAAACCAAGGAGACAGTATCAGTGGAGTCAAAAGTGGAAAAGGTACCAGGTCCTATTTTTATTGCTCTGCTTTAATTTAATTTGCCACCTTTAGCATTTTGTTTCACGAATTTAGATAAAAGATGTGTGTTAACTTTAGTTTTGTTCTTAAGCAATTCAATCTGTTTGGTGACCACTTTTGACTTTTCGGTGGAGGCACCTGCCTATGTGCTCAGGTCAGGTACTGGCCCCTTGCTCCCCTCCTTCTTTTGGTGGCCCCTTACATAATTCTTTCCATCGACACAAAGATTATTGACAATACTGTCTACAGTGACCACCTGTCCGCATAGAGGTCCCCTGAGTGGTCTTCTTGGGAGGTTTTGACTGTATGCTGTTTTTCTTATCACAGGCCCCACTGAAAAGGTTGCCGATCCATAACTCCCTTGGCCCACTGAAAAGGCAGCCAAGCTGTGACTCCCTATTCGGCGGGAAGCAGGTGAAGCCCGGCGCCGTGTGGACGCCGTACGGCCCGCCGCTGTACGGGTACGGCTCCTCCCTGAACCCGCCGACCAGGAAGCGGCCGGACACGCTGCTCATCCTCGCCGCCATCTTCTACTGCCTGGCCGTCCTGACAGCGGTGGTGTTCGCTGTCCTCTTCAAGACCAACGTCATACCAGGTGCATAACTTAACTTAAGCCCCAGCCACACACTGCCACTGCCGACAAAGGTCGACGATTTACGTCGAGAATGTTATAGTTTAAAGATTAAGTGATCAGACGTTCTTTCAATTTTGGCTTGAAAAATGAATTTTCTAAAAAGACTGTTTTGCTCAGAACGGTAGGATCTACGTATTTTTCCTTTTACCTTCTGCAATCATCTCATTCCATTCCGTTCTCGGAGCCTTTCGATGTCTTATGTTTTCCTTCATGGTTCGATAGTTTACAAGACTCCTGAGCCGGTGCCTGCGTGGATGCAGCAGTTTTCCCCGGAGATGCAGAGGTGGTACCAGTTGGCGCTGCAGGCTAGGCCGCCGGAGGGGACACATCAGCGATACTACCACCTGGATACGTGCAGGAGCCAACAGTGCCGCCGCTTGTGGAGGAGTGTGAGTACCATTTTACCGTAGCCCACACGTACAAGTTTGTACACCGCTGCGTTAACTGCGTGAAACGCCTACTTCTGCTGCACGACATACTCTTGTTTCGGTTTCTTTGTAGTTCTTCTGAGCCAAAATACGACAGCAGCAAAATTGTAACAGATCAAAAGGCGAAAGAGATACTAGTAGTGTTGACTTAAAAAAAGTTTTCCTTACATATTTTCAGTTTGCGACAACACGCCACTTCCTGACTTGCATAACGGCCGTTTCAACTGCACCAGCATTGCCTACTACAACATCCATGTGAGCATGTGCATCGCCAAGTGTGACGTGGGCTACCAGACCGATGACGCGGGCCTGCTGTTCTGCAACCGTGGCCGATGGGCGCCGATCGCGCCCGAAGTCGTGTCGACACTCGTCGGCGTCGGTCGGGCTGCCGACACGATGCCGAACACGGACCCTGGGTGGTTCGAGTACCTCGGCATCTCCGACAAAATCTACGCGGACGCGGCGCATGGCATTTTGGTTAAACTAAACGCCCCCCACCTTCCTATCGTGGAGACATATTTAGATATAATTTCGGAGAATAACATTATCGACTTCGACATGATGCGGCAGTTGTTGGAATGGATCGGCCCTATTCTTGAAGACATCGTGGCCCACTTGGACTTCCTGCAGGTTCTGTCTCGCCTAGGTATGCAGCATTAGGCCCTTATTGTATCCAGAAGTGTGCCCCATCTAGGTCTAGGTCTAGGTCTATGTCTATGTCTATGTCTAGGTCTAGGTCTATGTCTAGGTCTAGGTCTAGGTCTAGGTCTAGGTCTAGGTCTAGGTCTAGGTCTAGGTCTAGGACGAGGTCTGAATGGGTTAGGGTGAAGTCCCCGCGTATCGAAAAACGTAGATTTGCCCCAGACATAGTTCTGGATACGCGTGCACTATCCAGAACGTGCCTGGCCATGGTTCTAAATCACGGTTCTGACCGCCTGTGACACACAATGTCATCCACACCACCAAGTCTACTTGTTATTACACATATATCATATATCTAACCTGTTGATGATCGTATAACCTGTGAATATCTGTTTTGCAGAGACGTTTGGAGCGACCAAGCATCCAGAATGCAGACTTGTGGACTGTGAAACAGAGTCTGGGGTAATCTTTTGTGTTCTCTTATATAATTATCTCACTAGAACTTCTAGTAGCTAGAAGGAAGTGAAGCATGACTAGCAAGTCTCTCTTTTTTCACAGAATTTAGCTCATGGCAAACTCAGCAGCAACTCAACGACATACATGTCAGAAGCCCGAGTGGTCTGTGAGCGAGGCTACCTTCCCCGGCACCCTGTACTGACGTGTAACGCTACAGGACACTGGGACAAACCCGCACAGTGTGACCCTGGTAGGATGTTATTCTGGTTTTCTGATGATTATCTATTAGGCTTGTAATTATTGATATTCAACGATTTTTTTCAGCATAAAAACACATCCAATTCTGCTTTTCTATTTGGAACTTTAGTAATTGTTTTCTGTATGTGTGGCCATCACACAGTAACCTGCAGCCCACCTGAGGACCCCCCGCACGGCTCGTACCTGTGTCAGGGTCACGTGTTCTCGGACCGTTGTGATGTCACCTGCGACGCAGGGTACGTACCGGAAACGGACTACGCCCTTGGCTGCAGTTGGACCGGAAACTGGACCACCTTCCGCAGATGGAACACGACAGAGATGGAAAATGCTGTGTTTGCAGGTGGGGGACGTATCATTTTTGACAACTCGTTTTTGGGGGGATATTCTGTTTCCCATGTACAGGTATAAGGTGCTGAAATGCATGCAAATTGACATTTTTCTTTCTTCTGACAGACGTTGTCATCCCACAGACGCTGGCCTGTGTCGTCGCTGACTGTGCAAACATTTCGGTAAGTCAACCATTAAAGTCTTCTCTGCCTAATCCTAATCTTCAACAACCATCTAATACATGTTGTAATCTCTATATTTGGACAGCCATGTTTACACCGAATGGGAAATGCAACGTAAGAATTGTTACTACAATAGGAAGAATGGGCTGACGTTGCAATCTGTCATCCAATATGGTTGTTGATTGGATGGGTCAACTACATCCGCTTAAAGATTATTGTATTCAGTTTAGACCAAAGACCAGTCAAACAGTCAAAGATCATTCAACTCCGCCATGCACAGATCCCGGCACACGGTGACGTCACCTGTACAGGTACGACGTACGGCGAGACGTGTCATCTCACCTGTCAGGACGGCTACGAACGACTGGGACAAGACAACTTCACCTGCCAGGTGTACCGAGTCTCAGCCCAGGCCACCTGGAGTGGGGAGCCAACGTGTACCCCAGGTAATATAGCATATCCTGCTTCGAAAGGCTGGAACAAGACGACTTTACAACTTTGGGGTGGGGAACCGGAGTCTGTCGCGTGTACTGCATTTTACTATCTTACTAGTATCTTACTAGTATACTGATGATGGTATACTGAGATAGTATATACATGATATATTATGTGTCTCTTGTAACCAACATTCCCTTCTAAGTTAAGCTTCATTCTTAGTAAAAATGTAAACAAATTTTTAAAAGCTAATGACAATATTTTTATATTATTTACCAGTGAGTTGCGGCTCCCCTCCTGAGTTCCCAAACACCGCCCTACAGTGCGCCAGCGGACACACCTACGGGAACACCTGCGGAGTCACCTGTGCGGACGGGTACGAAGGAACGGACCACCGGAGCGTAGCTTGTCATAGCAGCGGCAACTGGAGCCTGCAGGAGGGAGGTACGAACTTCTGTTCCTTTTTCAGCGACCTTTGCCGAATTACACGTAAAAAGAGGCCGCGAAAGCAAATCAAAGTGCACATGCCATCCCGACATACACCAACACAACATACATGTATACCTATGTTAGACGTTTTCGCCTCTCTTTAGCTTTCTAATGCTTCTACTGTTATTCCTTTGTGAACTGCAGCGCTCCAGCCAGTTGTTGGGGGACCAGAACTGTTCTGTCAGAAGAAAGACTGCGGCAACCTTACAGTACGTACTCCAAATTTTATCAAAGCTGAAACATTAAACTGTAGCACAACTGAAATATATATTGTGATTATTCATGCTTTGGTGTTCAGCCCTATGAATGGAAGTTTGCAGCATTTATCATTCTTGAAGTATTGAATAATGTTGCTCATAACACTGACATTTTATTTAACAGAGCCCTGCCAACGGCAGCCTGACGTGCAGCGGTACCAGGTACCAGGACTCCTGCCGCCTGACATGTGAGTCCGGCTACAAAGTCGGCAATGAGCAGGACCTTCATCTCCACAGTCTACACAGCTTCAGGTGCACGGCAAGTGGACAATGGAATGACAAGCCAAGGTGAAGAAAGTTTCTAATCTTTTGACATGACTATACATCTCTGGTTCGTCGCATTTCTCACACTGGGAGAACTTTATGCTGGAAATATCAATAAAAACTTCGTCCAACTTTCCTTCAGATGCGTCCCATCCGACTACTGCCGGCTCGGCCTGCACGACTGCCACCCTGAGCACGGGATCTGCGACCTGACGGGCCACCAGACCTTCAGCTGCCGCTGCCGGGTCGGGACGGTCGGGGACGGGAGACGCTGTGAACGGACCCCCTGTCCGCCTTTCCCGGTATGTAGGATTATGTTTCTAATCTCTCCGTGCAATAAGTTCAACGGAAAATACATTCCATATAATTCTTCGAAGTCTCGAATCTGTGGATGAACAGAACCCTGTATAATCTTTTGTACTGCAAGATTAAATGTTAAAAAGTACGAGGCATTTTGAATGGTAAGTAGCCATCTTGGATCTATGGAGTCCACCAACATGGCTGCTACACATATGTGCAATTGATGACATAACCTGCTAGTACACCAAATATGCTGCTGTTTCATCCTCACAGGTCGCTGAACCGGAAAACGGGTACTTCGGGTGTTCTATCCCGGCATCCCCTGCGGCTGACTTCTGCCAATCACCTGACAGCACGGCGGAGGAGTACGAGGTCGTCTGTCTGCTCCACTGTAACCCTGGGTACGACAGGCTCATCTATGCCGAGTACTCCTGTGGACAGGACGGCAACTGGACCATTCCTTTCGACACAAACACTACTGGGATCATACCGTGTTTAGGTAAGTCCAAGCATCTTATTCCCTGTTCGTAGTTTTTGACGTTGCACTTTGGCAAGTCGGTCTTATTTTAAAATAAGTCCGATTTTAAGACGTGATACATTGTTATTTTACAGCAAACAAAAGTTCAGGAATTTATCTTCGATACCAAGTCATGATTGCAATTCTCGTCTTGAAATCTGATTTCTGTTTCAGCCGTCAAATGCTTGGACCTTTCAAGTCCTCTACACGGTAATATGACCTGCGACAGCGGCTACTATTTCCGGTATCCTGAAGTCTGCAACTTCGCCTGCGACCGAGGCTACGAGCTCACGACTCCCACAAGCAGCAGTGAGAGACGCTGTCAGACTGATGCAACCTGGTCTGGAAACAACGCAGAGTGTATCGGTAAGCTGTAACTTCGTCTTGACGGTGACCAAACCATTACATAAATATGCTGCTTTTGTTAGAGGTTACGTCTAGATGATACAAGCATCAATACTAGATGTGATAGGGAGTTTTGAATCTATTATGGTTAACATCATTGTTCTCTGCTGTTAGGTGTGAAATGCCCGGATCTGTCTGCTCCACCAAACGGAAGAATGGCCTGCAATACCAGCTCCCTTCGCTACCCGGACTCGACCTGCACCTTTACCTGTAACTATGGCTATGAACTGGATACCCCAATGGTGCCGGTAAGGCACTGTCAGGCAGACGCAACCTGGTCTGGCGATGATGCCAGGTGTATTGGTAAGTATGCTTTGATGTTTTTTTTTTCAAAACAGCAAAATGATTGGTGTTTAGAATTTAAATTCAGTGTAGAAATATAAGTAAAGCTATTTGATATTTCTACAAGTTTACAAGATGATTAAAACAATTATATTTTGCCAGATAGTCAACATCATCGTCAATGCTATCACATAGCTGAAACATAAGTAATGGTAACAGGCATAACAATATCCTATGTAACACAACACCAATGGAACTGCCACATTGTTCATTGTTGCAAATTGCCACTCCAGGCGTACGGTGTCCGACCCTGTCCAGACCGACTAACGGAAGGATGACGTGTAATCGCGGCTCCACCTTCCGCCATCCGGAAACCTGCACCTTCAGCTGTAACCATGGTTACCAGCTGTACACAGGCAGCAGCAGCAGAACCTGCCAGGCTAATGGCAGGTGGACTGGGAGTAACCCATTCTGTAGAGGTGAGTACCAGGCCAACTGTGAATTGATTAATAAAATCAACTCTTCAAAGACTATAATACTATTAAAACATAACCTGGGAGCCATCGGTCCTGCATCAGGAAAACGGAGGCGAGTGCAAGAAGTTCCGTTACAAAACGGATAGCACCCAGGCTACAATGTTATTGTAATGTAACATTAACGTATTTACTCGCTTACGCTCTCGCTTCATCATTCATTCCATCCAGTTAGCTCTAACTCTTTCCATCACTTTCAATTTTGTTTAGATATGACTGCTAGTAGGATAGAATCTCAAAGAAGGTACTTTGTACAGCACAGAATAGATGAATGTATGCTATTCCTTTACTCTGTAGCCTGTAACGGAGGGGCTGACATCATCTTTTCAATCGACGTTTCCGGGAGTGTTTCTGGGCACTTTGGGACAGTCAAGGACTTTATCAGTGGTGTAGTACGTTCCCTCAACATCGGGGGAAGTTACGCGCGAGTTGGTCTCATCAAGTTTGAAGGTAGCTCTGCAAGTAGGGCGATTTCCCTCGCGGACTACAGCAATAAGGCCGATTTGTTGTCAAGGATCGAAAGCGTGGACATGTCGTTCAGTAGCGGAGTTCCCTCTGTCGCGGGCTTGTCTGTTATGCGTAACGAATTCTTCACTTCCGGACAGCCGGCAGCGAGAAAGTACGGGATCGTCCTAACAGACGGCCAAGACAGTTCGAGTAGCGATGTCATACCGGACTCGATGGCACTGAGAAATGACGGCACCACACTCTTCTGTGTAGGCGTTGCAGAATGGCAAGACGGCATGGGAACATTAAATAACATGGCTAGCAGACCTGTTAACCATCACGTGTTCACGGCCAAGTTTGAAAATCTGCAAACCATCGTAGACGAACTCCGTCATAGGATTTCATGTTGAGATGGACGGAATTTAAAGAACGCTTATTAGTAAAAATTTACGTGAAAGTCAGGACATGTTGTGACCCTGAGAGCTACTACTAGTATATGCATGTATCTTATTGTATCTGCAGTGCATCTTCTATCATTCTCATCATCATCATCATCATCATCATATCCAACATCATTGTGCCAATTTTTGACGCATTCCAATTAGCTTCACGTCAATGCTATATGGCCTCCATCATATTCCCATAAAAGGACAATCGTTTATGTACATGTACATGTATGTGTCACAGTAGAGATGCAAATCCAGTAGAGTTGCCAACTCTACTAGTAGAGATGGGAATCCTAGTATTTATACTACTGAGTTCCAATCTCTACTAGGTACAACTCAACAAAGCCATGACGAATCCATGAGTAGTTGTTCTTGATTTCAACCCAAGTCTTGTCGCGACGAGAATGACCGACCCTGGAGTGGCAGCTGTAAATATATAAAACACCAGATTAACCATGTGCCATCTTTAAGATTTATATAGGGTCACCCAAGTATGTCGTGACACTGTCGTGACGTGCATGCATGCAAGCTTGCAAAAAACCAAAGAAAGTTTTGCCCCCAAAAGTTGTTTTTATCTGAAGAGTGGTGAGGAAATATTTTAACAAATGCCCCTGCTGTTCCAACCTCCTTACAAGCTCCTTAGGGGCCCAAAACCACATCACTTCTTTCTCAGTGCAAGAGCTATCATCTACCATTAATTGATTGATTAACTAATCAATGGAATCTTTAAACAACACCCCATGGCAAAAATGGGCCCTTCCAAGTTACCCCCATCTCTTGTGCAAAAGATATCCCTCATACCAAATTACAGATGATTTCACTTTTATACCATGACCTGGGATTCATGTTTGGACTTAACACAGCAAAATATATGTGATATATGACAAAAGAGTAACGCTGAGAAGATTCCTAAGAACGGAAGAGCTCATTTTTCCTCATAAATACAACTACCATAAAAGTAACGGCATCACCCCCCCTTATATGTTGAAAAAAAAAAACAATATATTTCAATCTTATATCACATGGAGTGAAGATTAAACAACTCGCCGTTTTATTGTGTCAAAGATGTCTTCCTTGGGAACAACAGGACAGGATGATTTCTTGCAGTAGAGAATCTTCTTGGAGCCGATTTCGTGAAACTTGAAGTTCTTGGTAGCCCAGAACTTGAAGTAGCTCCCATCTTGGCACTTTACCCCTTTGTCGAGTTGTAGTGCCTGTAGAACCTTGTCGTATCTTTCTTGTGTGATGTAGTAGCTGGCAATCCTCTTCTGATCAAGGCCGCTGATTTGTTCTTCAATCAGTCTGTAGAATTCTGCTTTCTGCTGCTCATCATCTGTCATATCTTCTGTTCACTTTGACATCATTTTTTGAACTGGCTTGGTATGACTGATTAGCTCTTATATACCCAGTCACTAACTAACTGGAAAAAACTGTTTATCACATTGAGTCTCTAACTCATAATGGCCTGATGCAAATGTCTCTGTTTTTCAGTGGCATGTACAAACAGCTATTGAGTGATGTTGGGTAATGATTGAGGTGTGAAAATATTCAGTCTATTTTCCAAAACATTTTTAGGTAACTAATATGACTGTGCCCTGCTAGAATCGTATAAATACGATTCCCATCTCTACTAGTAGAGATGCCAATTGACTGTGCCCTGCTAGAATTAGGTAACTAATATGACTGTGCCCTGCTAGAATTAGGTAACTAGTATGACTGTGCCCTGCTAGAATTAGGTAACTAATATGACTGTGCCCTGCTAGAATCGTATAAATACGATTCCCATCTCTACTAGTAGAGATGCCAACTCTACTGGAATTGCATCTCTACTGTGACATATGTCTATGTTGGTGACAAAAGCTACCATGTGAAATGAAAAAAACCTATAAAGGGTTACCATATGAACATCCTCTCCCGATATGGCTTGTCCTGGCGGGTACGAATCTCACCAGCACAGCCGATCCTGCTACAAGGCATACGACCATTGGGGCAACTACAACAGTGCTAGAGCAACCTGTTCTTCTGACGGCGGAACCCTCGCCATGCCCCGCGATGCCGTCACCAACACCTTCCTCATCAACCTGAAAAATGCCGTCGATCCAAACGCTGCCTTTATTTTCGGACTGACTGACATCCGCCAGGAAGGACGTTGGGTGTGGGAGGATGGTTCTGCTCTTGGAGATTTCAGGTGGTGGGCTCCGGGACAGCCTAGTAGCTGGGACTGTGTGGAGTATCTTTCCATGAATTATGACGCTTCCTGGAGGAACAAGTGGAATGATATTTCGTGTTCCTACTATCCCTCTAACAAGTTCATTTGTCAGATCCCGCCAATTTAGCATGTTAGTCTTAAAACGATGGCGTCAAATGTTTTTTCATAGTCATGCTTTAAGTTGAAATGCCGAGTAAGGAGTGTGGCTTCATGCCCAGTGCACTCAACAAACTCCAATATGGCTAGCAACCCCGTCAACGACCACGTGTTTTCGGGATCATTCTATGAACGGCATACCATTGTAGACGCAATCCGTCCTAGAATTTGGTGTGAAATGGACTGGGGATAGATTTTGAAAATCACGTACTGTAGCCAGTTCTATTTGTTACAAAACAATGCATCTTCTATCATTATTATCCTGCCATCCTTGGTGCATTCCAGCTACATGTACCTTATTCCTTATTCTATTCATACTATATAGATATATATATTCATTCTATATAGATACCTTACACAAAATCCCCAGATGATTGCATAATAAATTGGTGAAATATTTATGCATGTGACGTTCCCGTCATGTAACACGTTATTGTCATATGTCCTGGATCATAGTATCATTAAAATGACATTTGTTTTTTTTTTTTATTTACTTCAGTTTTCACCTCAAAACAAGGCTCGTGAGAGCCACTTGCATGTTTTGGCATGGGTTACAGCGATGACTGTGTGGTCAGATATTTGTTCACCCTAGATTTAATATAAACCGTTGGAGGTCGTACCTAGTGGGGAAACATTCACGGGGAAGCTTGTTCCACAGTAAAGTGGTTCTGGGGAAGAAACTGTCGGCATGAAATTTTCTCTTGAGTGATGGAGTATTGAGAAAGAAAGGGTGATTTTCTGCTGTTAAGGTGGCAGGGCGTGTTCTTGCAGAGAATGTTCGGAGTGGGGGTACAAGGGAGTGAAGTTCAGCAGAGCAGAGTTTACTAATATGTATATCTATGCTGGTGACAGAACCGTTGCCATGTGACGTGAAAACCTTGGCTGTCCCAGCGGGTACGAATACCATCCGCCTAGTCGACTGTGCTACAAAGCGTGCGGCCAAGAGAGAAACTACAACGATGCTAAAGTGATCTGTACTTCTGACGGCGGAACCCTCGCCATGCCCCGCGATGCCGTCACCAACTCGTTTCTATTTAACCTGAAGAATGCCGTCGATAACTGCGCTTTCTTCCGTTTTGGAATGACTGACATCCGTCAGGAAGGACTTTGGGTGTGGGAGGATGGCGTTGCACTTGGAGGTTTCAGTTCGTGGAATCCAGGAGAACCTAACAACTTAATATTTTATAACGAGGACTGCGCAGAATATTATCCCGGAAGTTACGGGGATACCAATAGGAACATGTGGAACGACCATCCGTGTCAAAGGTTGTCAGAAGTTGATATCACTCCCCGTCCCGGTTGAGCGAAGGTTGATGTGCCCTGATGTATATATATGGCCTCTTTTATTCCTCTCTTGAAGTAATCCTGTTCGGAATCCAACTCGGAAGATTCTAACCCCCTCCAAGTTTACTGTGTGACAACCTTTGACCCTCTGCTGACGTCACACGTTGAAAAAATCACGTGTCCAAAGCATTTGGGTCAGATAGCTGAAGAAAACTGAGTGATTCAGTCGAAAATTCCGACGAGTAAAATTTATGAGTTGGAGAACAGTTTAAATTTGTCATAATGTAATTTAACAACTCAGGTGAAATTTCATGCTGATGTAATGAACTAAGTTCTATTTGTAACGAAAAGTTGATGGCAATGCCAGAAATTGTTTTGACCTTGAGAGCTATATGCATGCATCTTGTAACTGCAGTGCACCATTTATCATTCTCTTCATCATCATTATCCTCATATCATCCTGCCATCCTTGGCGCATTCCAGCTACCATATTCCTCATTCTTTGCAGTCAAAGGCACCTGATACAGATTCCCAGATAATTGCATGATAAATTGATAGACTGTTTATGCATGAACGTTCCCGTCATATAACACGTCATTTGTATATTGCCATACTAGTAGTCTGATGAAAAGGACAATCGTGTTTGTACATCTATGTTGATGACAGAACTGTTACAATGTGAGGTGAAAAACCTAGCCTAAACCATCCTCTTCCGATATAGCTTGTCCCAGCGGGTACGAATCTCACCAGCACAGCCGGTCCTGCTACAAGGCATACGACCAGTGGAGTAACTACAACAGTGCTAGAGCAGCCTGTACATCTGACGGCGGAACTCTCGCCATGCCCCGCGATGCCGTCACCAACACCTTCCTCATCAACCTGAAAAATGCCGTCGATCCAAACGCTGCCTTTTTCTTCGGACTGACCGACAGCCGTCAGGAAGGACGTTGGGTGTGGGAGGATGGTACTGTTCTGGGAATTTTCAGGCAGTGGGCTCCGAGACAACCTGACAATTGGGACAACGAAGACTGTGGAGAGTATCGTTCCGATAATCACCATGACGCTTCCATCAGGAACAAGTGGAACGATAGGTCGTGTTCCGCCACAAGGAAGTTTATTTGTCAAGTGGGGTAAATGTTACACCATAGCCTTCAAACTATGGCTTGAAACATTTCCTTCATTCATGATTAAAGTTGTAGTGTCGTGCGATTTGTGAATAGTGTGGCTTCATGCATAGTGCATTTTCCAAACTCTAACATGGCTAGCAGTCCCTTCAACGACCAGGTGTTCTTGGGTTCATCCTATTTATCTGCAAACATTGTAGACGCACTCCGTCCTAAAATTCTTAAAAGTGACGGGCCTTAGATTTTGAGAGAACACTAAGTGAAGTTCTATTTGTTACGAAAAGTTGACGACAATGTCAGTAAATGGGTCAACCTCGAGAGCTATATGCATGCATCTTGTTGTAACTGCAGTGCAACATTTATCATTCCTGTCATCATCATTATCATATCCGACATCATCCTGCCATCCTTGGCACATTCCAGCTACCTTATTCCTTGTTCAATTTAGTCATAGATATCGTATACAAATCCCCAGATAATTGCATGATAAATTGATAGACTGTTTATGCATGTAACGTTCCCGTCATATAACACGTCACTGGTATATGGCCATACTAGTAGTCTGATGAAAAGGACAATATTTTTTGTACATCTATGTTGATGACAGAACCGTTACCATGTGACGTGAAAACCTAGCCTAAACTATCCTCATTCGCCCCCCCCCCTCAGAACTCGCGAACGGTATATCGTATGACCACCAAATTTTTAGAGGATGGTGTACTAGTAAAAATGTATCATTACAATAATTTTGATGTCGTTATGACGTAAAATTAAGTCATTATGACGTCATTAATGTGATTTTATATTGGCCAAAACCGTATATATAGGTTATTCCCTAAAAACTCAATGGCATACAACGTGACTTTAACAAAAAATGTTCGTAATGGAATATTAGGGTGTACTAAGACTTATGTTGCCCATAGCAACACCAGTGACGTCATGAAATGACGTCATGCATATTTAAGCTATCCGCCATCTTGGATTATAAAACTCGAATTTTGAAAATAGTTTTTTTCCTGGATAAAGGCTAAAATGCATCGAATATAGACTTAAGAGCGAATGTCTGTAAGGATCAAACAATGGTGGCAGGGGTCAAAAAATCGATTTGGCTCAAACTTTGCACAGTGATAGTACTTGCCCCACAACCCCTCAAAATAGCTTTCTTTCCGGTCAGCACCGATCGTTGCCATGGTAACGGGCCAAACAAGTTTCGGGGCCATTTTCCCTGATTTAGACATGTGAAAAACATGAAATTTGGCATAGTTTAAGGCACGATTACGAGCAAGTGCTTTGATATTATGGAAAAACAAAGTATGGGCCTAAAAGACCAACTTATCCGCTATTCTAGAATAGCTTTGAAATTTTCAAGAAGTTCGTTTAACCCTAAACAGAACACCTGGGGTCCGCGTGGACCCCAGCACTATATATTCTGTAATATCTTTTTTGTTTCTGAAGATTTGTTTCTGAAATTTTAGGTAATTGTCACCCACAAAGTTGTCTCTCAATACAGTGCAGAAAACTCCGTTTCTACCATTTATAAAAAAAATTATATCTGATTTTCTTTTGGGGTCCGCGCGGACCCCAGCCGGCTTTCGATCATAATGGATACACTGGCGTTCTTATACATTACCTTATTTCCGTTTTTATATGTTTTTATGCACTCATCGTATGTCTACCAAGTTTTCAGAGAATTGTGTAGTAATAGAATTAGATTTTAATAACTTTGGTGTAATTATGACGTCATATGACGTCAGAGCTAATAATAATATAGTCCGCCATATTGGATTTTGACCAATGACGTCATCAAATTAGCATATTCTATGCATATTAAATGATTTAACTTATGTTCAATTATGTAAGATGTTATTAATGTCGGAAAAGAAGTGTAATTTAATATAAAACTCAGAAAATTTTTATGTTTAAACCAAAATTACTTCTATTTTCAAAAAAACTGCCTGCTAGAAACCCGTTGCCATGGCAACACAAAAAAACATCAACTTACTAGTATTAAACTAATATGAACTTTTTGCTAGAGACATTTTAGGAAAGGTCTCCAAATTTGATACTTCTAGCGCAAGCCGTTTAGCCGCTATCTGAGATCAAAGTTGGGCCTCAAAAGCCCCTTCAGTCTGAAATGGGTTTAAAAAGCGGGTATTTCTTCTTGTCTTCTTTTCTTCACCCAAAAATAGAAAAAGTTCAAAATGTATGATTTTTGTATGTAATGTGGACACAGTGGTTCCCACATTAGTTTGCAAAACAATTGAGCTGGTAGCATGTTGATAATTTCTAAAAATTAGCAAAAAACTGTTCTGGGGTCCGCGCGGACCCCAGGTGTACAGATTAATCAGTCCGGGAAGGTGTACTGTTGAGGGTTAAAGGACCTGGGCAACCCTAACACAATACAGTGTTTGAGGCTTCTGAAAAAGCGTTATTTCTGCCCAACTTCGAAGTGCTGTAAGTCCAAAGATGGTAATTTTTTTTGCTTCAAATTTGAATCATAGATACATAATCATATGTGCTATAAATTGCATGGTTGCAAACTTTGGGCACTTCTTTGGTTGTCACGTGGTTGTCCTTAGAAGTAGGTTAAAATGGCCCCGAACACTGTATTGTTTTAGGGTTGCCCAGGTCCTTTAAACGAACTTCTTGAAAATTTCAAAGCTATTCTAGAATAGCGGATAAGTTGGTCTTTTAGGCCCATACTTTGTTTTTCCATAATATCAAAGACACAATAATACACAGGCGTTTGAAGAGTGAATTCACGGTGTCGGATAGCTGGTTAACAATATGATCACTCAGCCTAAACAAACTCCCAGTGCCTATATATACACTGTATAAGAATAGAGTTTTTAAAGCATACAATTTCAAATGAATATAGTTTGTAAAGCATGTGTTTGCATATGAGATCATTCCAATTTCGTATGGCGACCTTGGAAGGTAAACCACGAAGAATGTCATTTTTTATGTGAATTCTATGTGCAAAGTATTGTACATGGAAGGAAATACAAGTACAATGTCTCGATTCAGTACTAGCTTTCTTTAAAGCTACTCATCCACACTTTTTACAAATGACAGTCATTGCAACGTCTTTACAAAAAGTACAAAGAACGGTGGACCTCAGCTTAACGTCCCATCTGGTCATTTATACTAGTAACCATTATACACGTATCACGCAAGTCGGGTGAGCTACGGCATTTCAGATGTATTTGATACTGTCCTGCAACCAGAAAAGGAGCTGCTTGGAGATTACCAAAGAACCACAAAGACTGTTTGTACGTTAGCAACAAATCTCATGATCTTGCGCCCTAGAGAAAAAACATTGAGGTAACGCATAGCTCTAGGACTGACGCTCGTTTCAGAACGTGTCATCAATGATGGCGCTGGTTCTTTACGTGGTTCTAGCGTCTGTGTCTGTGTTATCTCACGGAGGAGGAGATTCTGCAAAGACTGGAGACGAACATGAACAGTCCAAGCGTGAAGAACACCAGACTGACACAGCATCTCATCGCACGTTACCAGGTAAGGTTTACGTAGAAGTAGAGAAATGTTATTTGATAGCAAACGGTGATGTGGTAATGCCCCCGTCACATTGCGCGTAAATCGATCGCCGACTAGTTGGCGAGCTCTAAGCGACATTTACGGCCGTAGTACGGCCGATGTTCCGCCGAGCATCGCGCGAATTTTCGAGATCGCCAGCGATTTTTTGGAGTCGGCCGAAGCTTGCTGACACGCGAAACGTGTTCTTAACATCAGCGACTGTGAAGTCATTATTTATTCAGCACCTGTGATATTTATTTGAGGTTGCATTGACAGTATACTAAGTAATGTGTAAAGTTTACAGGAGCAACGTCTCCACTGATTGTTAACGTTATGTTTACGAGAAAGGATAAAATAGATAAAGTCGTCCTTTTTGTACTTTTGTTAAATCAACATTCGTTAATGAACAAAAACACTGTAAAACGATTATAAGGTTTTAACTACTAGTATATAAGGCCAAATGCCTACCTTTTGAACTCAACTGATTGAACGCACATGAAATCATTTACTCTTGTCCATTTGGGAGGTGTGTGTATTTCAGAAGATTGTATAACAAATTGACTTTTACACTTGTTCGTTCTGGAGTGAGGTTGACTTGTTTGTTGCCATTGAATGGCTAATAAACTTGTTTACCGGATGATTCAGACTGTTTTAGACAGAAGTATACAGGCATTTCAAGTTAGACAGAAGTTTTAGAACGAGGCTAATACGGAAATTTCGTGGCTCTTGTGGTAGTATTTGAGTTGGATCTTTCACAGAATTCCTGTCTATATTTCTATTTTGTTCTGCCAGTCAGCTCCATTACTTTGTTAAAAAAATATTACGACAGGTCAAACATAAAAATTATTATTTTAAGGTGGATACAATGGCCCTCCTTTATCTGCGTGCCATGTCATAGGGACTTCATTATCATAGATGTATTCCCAAGCGATCGTCCGAGCCTCGCCCAATGTGACAGCAACGATTTTCGACCCAGAAATACGCGCGATCGTCGGTCGATCTCAAAATCGGCCGACCTTTCGGCGATCGACAAATACGGCCGAAGCTCGTCGACAATGTGACGGGGGCATAAGGAATCGTTCCCGAGCGGCGTTTCCTAAACCTTACTTCTCTTGTGGGGCCAAATATAGTACTTACTCTTAGTGAGTCAATCTTATCTTTAGCATAGTCATTTTGAAATTTCTGAATAACATTCGTCGTAGGTCTTCCTACGGGTTTGAAGCCGTAAATTTATTTTTGCTTCGTCGGAACAAGAAATTATTTATTCATGAGACGCTCAAATCGGCCTGCAGGTCGCTTTTCATCGGGGTCATGAGGGAAGAGGTAAGGGTCAGCCATGACATATTTTCAGGCAGGCTTTCATGGAACTAACTACCGACAGGGCTCTACAAAGCAGCCTTTTTTGTAACAAAAACAGCGGAATCTTCGAATTCCAGGACACAAATACTGATCATCCCGAGAATATCCCTAGTT